GGATTTTGGCCAAAATCCCAATATCGTGCATCCCTATTTCGGAATGCAATTCCAGTTAAGGATGGGGTTGAGCTGTGGTGCTTTCTTGGTGGTAGTTTGGCTCAGAAGGTTCAAATTTGGACGTATTCTGGTGTTTTTACTATACGAAGTTCCCAAATAAAAGTCAAAACTGCTCCTGGAAGTTTAACATGAGGACTTTACCTAAAGGGCTGACCTCAAACCTGTTAGAAAATTTACAGGCTGTCAGTTAAATTTACATCTCAGCGGGAAAACCAACCATAATTTTAAAAATATAGTTTTTTTTCCCATAAACCTTTGCCTGAGTGTAGATGTAAAATTTTACACCATATGTTTGATTTACGAAAAAGTCTAAAAGGGTTTCCTAGTTTTCACATCCCTCAGTTTTTACTCATCAGCTTGTTTCACAAACGCACAGACACACAAAGAAGGCCTTCTCTGTCTCCGACAGCGAGGCCGTCTTCTCTCGCCTCTTCGTTGTTCCACACAGAGGCGGCAGTGATCCCAGCACACGGCTGGACAGACAAGCCTCAGTCCAAAGGAACACCTGCTGGGCTCTCACACACATTCAGCCTCCACATCACAGCCTCTCTCTGCCAGCAGACACTCAGCATTAAAAGTGTAAAAATAAATGAGATCATTTTTGTGCATGCAATCCAACACTGCTGCTCTGATTGTGACGTCCAGGTATGACGGAGAGAGAGAAGCAGGTGATGATGAAGTTGAAGGAAGTGGTGGACAAGCAGAGGGACGAGATCCGAGCCAAGGATCGGGAGCTGACGCTGAAAAACGAGGACATAGAAGCAGTAAGGCCTCATCCTGTCTTGTTCAGCAGGAGGAGCAGTTTGCTGCATAAAAGTGGGTGAAAGTGAATCATTTCATTCAATAATCAAGATTCTAATGTAAAGCCAACAGATCTGATCTCCAAGCAGTGCAAGTTTGTGCAGCAAACATCAAATGCACAGAAAAGATGCTTTGTAAATACAAAACTGCAGGAACTGTATTAGAAATATAAGCATCGCATAAAAAACTAATTTACTAAGAAAACGATGAACCTGAACTCGCACACTGTAATCTTTGTTTGTAATGAGGAAATGCTAATGTTGCTAGCACTGATTTTAGTAAAAAGAAATTTTTTGGACATTGAAAGAAAAAATAATAAAAAAAAGTTTCTTGTTCTAATTCTACCTTGCATTTGATTGGTTAATATTCAATTCAGTTTATTTATATTGCACCAATTTACAACACATGTTATCTCAAAGCACTTTAAAGAGATAATTCAATCAGATCATCCAGTCAGATTGGTTCAAAGTGTTCTATCAAATAAAAACCAGTTGATTGCATCAACTCATTGACTTGAGGGTAATCCCTCACACCAAGCATGCTTTTAGCGACACTTACATGTGCAATAGCTTTCTGACATCAACCAAGTACACATTTAACTTTGTCATTCATAACTGGCTCCAGCTGGTTTGTTCTGAAATAAAAAACAACAAATGCTGTAGATTGTCTGTTGCAGCTCTCATGCACCTTCTAACAACACATATGTACCATGGCATGACTAAAGGGCTGGTTATCCTCCCGCAGCAGTGTGTCGCAGTGAGCTTGTCGCAGACATTTTTGATTTATGCCCAATTTTGAAGTGTGGTCTGCGTTATATTACTCCACGCCAAAACGCAAGACGGACAATCAGAAAGTAGCTGTGGGTCTAGATATGGCGCTGAGGCGGGGATGAAGTGGGGGCAAGTTTGTGCGACAACGGAGGGACATGAGTGCGAAATAGAGTGTGGAAAAAGGGTCCCTGCGTTCTCACGTACCTCGCTCTTCTAGCGGGTCCATCTTCACGAGTCATTTTCCACAATGGCGGTCACACAAACCAAACAAGTTGGTAAGGTACCAAACAGGAAATACACGTAGAGTAGAGTGGATGTAGATTTGACCAATCAGAGGCCTCCTGTCTGCGGTCACCTACAGTTTCAGAAAGGTGCAGCAGACTGTCTGTGGAAGGGGTGGGGCCATATCTGCGTTAATTGCGACGCACATGCAGACGACCTAATTCTTGAGTATAAATCTGCCTTAACTTTTGTTAGATTATGCAAATGCTCAGTCTGCACCAACGAAGTTTCCCAGATGCTTTTAATCTGCTGTGAAGCAGGATTCTCCACCATGAACATAATCAGAAATAGATATTGATCCAGGCTCAAAATGAGCACCTTGATATGTGCTTTAGAATGGCTTAGTCTCACCCAGGTTTAACACAGGAAAAAAATTTAAATCTAGATAAGTCATTTTTTCTTACAATAAGCACATTTGTTCTTGGATTGAGGAGGTAAAAGGGACACATTGCTAATGGAACAAGACAATTTACACTTAAAATAAGAAAACACGATTACATTGTCTCATTTCAAGTGCATATTATTTATTTATCTTATTTT